CTGAGCCTATCATACTGGCTTTAGACTTCCTAGCCTCTAGACCAGTGAGAAATAAATGTGTGTTGTTTAAGCCACCAAGTGTATGGAAATTTGTTACTGTAATCCAGGCTGACTAAAACAAACAGATTGTAAATTATCTCTTAAGTAATGTACCCAGAATGTATGACAAGTTCTCAGAGAATATACAGATACATAGAAATCAAGCTCTCAGAAAATGTAGAGTATATGTAGAAGTCGAGTTCTCAGAAGATATAGAATGTACTTAGAAAAGCACTCAACCAAACAGAAGACACTTATATAAAAAGATACCTAAAGTATGCTTATAACGATTAATGAGTATTACGTTTTGTTACTAAGCATTACCAAAAGCCAGAAATCTAGGATGTCACCAAAATTATTACGTTTGTTGAGTTTTGGAGACAAGTCTAGCACCTTAACTTAATTGAAGGCCTTACCATTTTGACACATAAAGAATCTGTATGTCTAGGTGTCAGGATCATCTCCAGATTTAACCCTAGGGTCAGCTCAGTCAAAACCACATACTTTGGTCTTGTTTTCTGGGGAGCAAATATTCTAATCTTCCCTCTTACAGCTTATAGGTGGTTAAATGCCTCTAATAAGCAAACCACCATATAAAAGAGTGCATGTGGGAAAGAGAGTGAGTATGTAAATCTGGGGAACTGTGAGGGGTGCGAGTAGCTGGGAATGGGTTACAAATGCACTTATAGTATTATATAATGGAAGTTCCAAATTCATTCAATTTAAACCACATACATACTGACTGACTTCTTTGTGCCAGATACTCTGAAGAGGAAAGGCAAATATGTGAAAATTGTTACTTTTATGGTATTAATGCAGATTGATGAAACCCTGTGAGAGGATAGGGAACTTCCTTCTTGTGGTGGCGGGGCTTGATTCAGTAGGTGATAGGCTAGATTCTTTGGAGTATGATTATGCCTTTGAGAGACCTATAGAGCCTCTTTATAATTGATTAGGTAAAGAAACTTATTTGTTAGGTATGTAAGAAACTTATTTAACATATTGAGATACTCCTTAGAGATTTTTTCTGGAGGTCAGCTCTGGGAAGGCTATATAACATTGAAGCAAATGCTATAGCCTGGGGGAATTTCAGCAGAATCTGATATACTCACATTTTGATATCATCTGTTCAACAGGAAGAGAAGGAAAAAGGCTCTCAATTCAAGTTTTCCTCTAGTATTTTAAATCAAGTTGAGAGGCCGGGTGCAGGTGGCCTCATGGCCTGGTAATCCAGCACTTCGGGAGGCTGAGGCGGCGGTGGATCACCTGAGGTCAGGAGTTCGAGACCAGCCTGCGACCAACACGGATAAACCCGTCTCTACTAAAAATACAAATTAGCCGGGCATGGTGCGCGCATGCATGCCTGTAATCCCGTCCACTTGGGAGGCTGAGGCAGGCAGAATCACTTGAACCAGGAGGCAGAGGTTGCAGCTGAGCCGAGATCAGCCTGAAGCAATAAGACCTGAAACTCTTGTCACAAAAAAAAAAAAAAAAAAAAAACAGACAGAGCTTCAAGTTTAAGAGTGTCTTCCAGCATACGATTTCAGATTAGCTGAATGAAGGTGACATTGGACTCTGTTGAGGTTCTCATTCACATCTCATAGTGCTGAAACAATCAGACAGAGTCTTCCTTTGGTAAGGAAAGTAGCTAAAGCCAGGATAACTGGACATTATACCCATTTAGGACTCAAATGGAGACTCCAGATGGAAACTACACATAATTATATAGACAAGTATAGTTTCTGAGAGGTAGAAATATATACTTTTCATCTCTTGCATCATTCTATTCTCAAAGCATTTATTACACTCTTATGTGTGAGTCATGGTTCTGAGCATTAAGGATACAAAGACAAATAAACCATCACTCGTGATCCCCACTCCAAGAGCAGTTACAGCAAAGTAATTAATGCTGTAACAGAGGAATAAACAAGATGCTGAGGAGCATGAGAGGAAGCACATAACTTATCCTGAAAGGTTATAAGAGGCTTCTCAAAGATGGTAACATTTTTCTTTTTTTTTTAACAGGGTCTTACTCTGTTGCCCAGGCTGGAGTGTGGTGGCACAATCATGGCTTACTGCAGCCTTGACCTCCCTGGCTCAAGTGATTCTCCCATCTCAGCCTCCTGAGTATCTGGGACTACAGGCATGCACCACCATACCCAGCTCGTTTTTGTATTTTTTGTAGAGACAGGATTTCACCATGTTGCCCAGGCTGGACTTGAACTCCTGGACTCAAAAAATCTTTCAGCCTCTGCCTCTCGAAGTGCTGGGGATTATGATTAGATTCTTGAAGAATGAGTTCGTTTTCCAGGGTAATAAGAAGAAGCACTACAGACTAGGAGACAGCAGTCAAGAAAAGGCAGAAAAATGTGAAGTAACCAGGAGGCTAGGATATATGCACATACAACTTTTAAAGGTAGGCAGGAGCAGAAATTCTGAAAAGACTTATATGTCTTACTTTGGATTTTGGACTTTAACCCATAGACATTGGGGGTCTTCAAAGGGCTTGACTTCAAAAGGTTGGAGAATGGAGGGTGGAGAAGGTGGGTGATAGCAGGGTCAAGGCTACCAGTTGCAAATTTATTGTAGTCATTTTGATGAGAAATAACTGGAGCCTGGGACTGAGGAGAGGAACAGGGGGTTAGTCTCAGCTTTCTAACTTTGTGTATCATCGTTTCATTAATCCAAAGAGAAGAAGCCAGGTTTGGGGAAGGGAACAACGGGTTCAGTTTTCAGCCTCTTGAATTAGAATTTTGTTGGAACATTTGGGTGGAGATTACCATGAAGCAGTGGGCAAAGTAAGCTTAGGTTAAGGAAAGAGATTCAGTTTGGAGATGATAGGTTTTGGTATCATCAGTGTAAAGAAGTTTTCAGAGGCACAAATGTGACTAAGATTGCTCAGGATGAGTGTGTCCAATCAGAGGAGAAGAGCAAAGGCCAAGCCAGAGAATCCCAGCAATTAAGGTGGTAAGGAGAGGACTCATTAAACACAATTGAAGAATGTTGAGAGAAATACAAGGAAAATCAGAAGTGGTTTCAGGGAAAAAAATGTGCAGATAATTTCAAGAAGGAGGTACTGGTTAACACTATCAAAGCCTATTGAGTGACCACGTTTGAAAATGACACTGTAGGCCGGGTGTGGGGGTGGCTCACGCCTGTGATCCCAGCACTTGGGGAGGCCGAGACAGGTGGATCACAAGGTCAAGATATCAAGACCATCCTGGCCAACATGGTGAAACCCCCATCTCTACTAAAAATACAAAAATTAGCTGGGTGTGGTGGCATGCCCCTATAGTCCCAGCTACTAGGGAGGCTGAGGCAGGAGAATCGCTTGAACCCAGGAGGTGAAGGTTGTAGTAAGCCAAGATGGCGCCACTACACTCCAACTTGGTAACAGAGAGAAATTCTGTCTAGAAAAAAAAGAAAAAGAAAAAGAAAAAGAAAATGACCGTGTGTTAGGCCATTGCAGGTCAAGAAGAGAGCAAGAACAATTTTATTGGAATGACAAAAGTCGAATAACAGTGGGTTAATGACAAAAATGGAGGATAGGAAGTAGAGTCATCAAATGTTCATTTTGATTTCAAGAAGGTTTACTTGAAGGCAAGATAAAAGAGAGAGATTTGTAACTTGAAGACCCTGAAGAACTTAGGAATTATACTTTTGAAAGCAGTAGTAGAAATTTGATATTTAGGAGAGTTTAAGAACCTGGGCTGGTACACTGAGCTAGGTTAAAAAAAGAAGAAAGACTTTTACCTTCTTTTTTGGGTGTTAGTATAAAAGTATTTTAAAATGAGCTGTGACTTCAAAATGTCTAAACCTGCCTACAAGTGGCTTCAGAAACTGTTGAGACAAGGGGCGATTTAGGAACGAATCCCCACCACTGCAGCATGCAGTGTGGCTAGATGTCTGAGATGATGAGGTTTAAATAATGGCAAAGCAAGTTGAAAAGCTTTCAGCATCTTTGCTGACTCCAAGAAGTAAAAACAAGCTGCCTTCCAGCAAACACATTTTCCCTTCTGAAATTCTGTCAAATAAATTCAGAAGGACATGAAAAAACAATGGAAATGTATCTTGTAACATGTGCTGATGTGGTCATACAGCCCCTGTTTCACAGATTGTGCACGATGAATTTCAACACTATATCTGATTTCTCTGGCGTGTACATTGTGTAAAAGAGCTTGCACAGGTACAACTTTGTAGTAATCAGTGAACTTGTGAAGGCATTGCCCAAAAATGAGACTACAGATACTATAAGCAAGAAGAAATCTTTTCCTCAAAAATGCAGGTACTGCATAATAACATGCAAGGAAAATTGCATATTTTGAGGCACTCTACACTTTCAGTCTTACCAATGACAAGAAATGCAGCCTAGGTTTAGCATTTTGTCTGGAGTATCGCAGTCCTAGCTAGCTTTGAATGGGCTTATTTTTCAAGAACCGAAGTGGTAGCTCATCACATATTTCTCAGCTTCTGAAATGATTGGTATTCCTCTCCTATCTAGCAGCTGTTGGAGGGTTTTTTATTTAACCAGTGAAGAGTTCCAAAATAGAAGTGTTGTCCTGGATGTATTTTAAAAACACACATTTCAGGCCTTTCCTCTTTAACTTGAAGTAGCAGATAAAAATCCCAAAGTGAAAGTGACAAGATAACATTGTGACATTGACTCAGAAAGGCATAAGGAATCTATAGATGCCGCTGCATGTCAACAACCAAGGCAAACACTGCGACTGTCATACCAAACATCCCGAAGCTATGTAGATTTAGTCAAAACCTTGCTTCACGGCAATGCTTCCGGAATTGAGAATTCTGGGTAACTAAATTGTCTAGTTATTAGGTGGCTAAATAGAATACTCCTTTTATTTGAATTTTTGTTGCCACAGAGTTGTATAAATGCGTTACCATATTCTATTAATTTAGTGCTCGTCCTAATGGTGTGAAAGCTAGGTTTGATTTTGAACTGTTTCTGTTGAAGGTGGGGAGGTAGTTTTTTTTTTTTTAATTTTCTTTTTAGGGTCTGTGCAGAGGAGAAAGACTATGGCTGGTGGTTACTAGCTATTTCCTGTTCTCGATCTTAACATTGGTCTGTTTATTCTGTTCTCAGGCACCTTCTGTCCATCGCTCTGTCAAGGGTACGTAATATTTAATTTTTTCTCAATCTATTATTTAATCCTTATAAATTTGATATGGGTTGGGTACTGCTGCTGCTAAAATGATACAGAATTTACAAGTAATCTGTAACCTAATGGGAGAAGAAACAGCTTCTGCTGAAAAGCAAAACTGCCTGGGATTGAATCCTGGTTCTACTGCTTGCTAGCTGTATGATCTGGAGTAAGAACTAAATATATTTGTTTCTCAATTTTCTCCTGGTAAAATGGAGATAATATTAATACCTACCCCAAACGGTTTCTTTTAGTATCCCTAAAGTACTTACATCAGGGTTTAGTACAAAGTACACTCCACTCAAGCATTAGCAGTGATCCTTATCACCTTATATCCTTATTCATGGTTAGACCACAAAGTGCCTCTGCAAACCTGTGTGCCCTGAGAGAGGATGGGAATTTTCCCCAGAGAGCGTGGTCTTCAATTTCCAGGGTCTGGAAAGAGCCATTTCCCCTGAGTTGGGTGCTGCCTGGCCTTTTATGTTCGAATATTCTTACATTGGGTTTATATCTTCTAGTGCAGGAGACAATGTGCTAAAAAAATTAAAACAGAAGAAACACAAAAGAACCCTGATATAGATTGTTGTCATTTGCCTCTCTATAGCCTTAACATTTAGAAAACAATTTCTGGTTACCAAATGATGGTAAATTGAGGGTTTCAATGGTTTAACCAAGATTTTCTCTAATATGTTACTCTAGAAGACAGTGAGCAATTACATCAATTAAAAAACATAAAGTAAACCGAAATATAATGAGAAAAGGCAATTTATTAGTGCTTTCCCCATGCTTTGGAGTATAACTTGATGTATGCGGAGAATAGCAATCAGTTTGGCTTTCCCCTCTCCAAGGGTAGACAGTAACCGGAGGATTCTTTTGATCATTTTATTCATTTTGTGTTAAAACTGTAGTGCTTCTAATTTATAGACATATTGTGAATGTCAAGGAAATGTCACCCAAATCATTGAAATACAGTGAAATTCATCTATTATATTTAAGTAACAGGTTGCCCTAGGCTCCAAGGGAAGCAAGCTTAAATGGAACTGGGATTTTGACTGTTCAATTTTAGCACTTTAAAGACACAGAATAATCAAGGTGAATTTCTTAAAGGTAGAGGCTCCGAGGATAGGTAACTGTGAAGTATTTCCGGAAAAACCATTAAATGGCAGATTGGCATACAGCTACATTTCAGGCCCTGATTTGTTTTGTTTGATGTGAACCTTTTTTTTTTCTTTAAATTAAATCCCAAATCCTATAATGGAGATATTTAAATGAACCCTCTTGGTCACTGGCATCTATTTCAGCATCCCTCTGAGAAATTCAATGGTCGGTTGTAAAAACTGTTTTATGTTTCTATCAATACCTAAGGAAAAATTTGATTATTCTCCAGATTTTTCCCAATCCTGTAGCTAAATTGGATTATTTGCTGAATTAGCCTTTACTTTCCAGTGCCATGACAGTGTCTCAGTTGCAAACCTTACATTATCAGCTGACAAGAATACACAATATTTATCTTCCTAGGGAAGCAGCATGGCAGCTTTGCCTTTGGGCTTGTATAGATCCACATTCCACCTCTGCTTTCGCTGCTTAGTAATCAGGTGACCTTCTGCAAGTTACAGGATTTCTGTAGTTTTCACCTCTTTGTGAGTGAAGTGGGGATACTAAAGGTGACTTTGCGTGGGTTTGGGTAAGGATGAGATGAGACAGTGCACGTGGAAGCTCTGACTCCTAAGTAGGTTCTCAGTGGATATCCTTCACCTTGCAACCTCTCATCCCCCAAATCATTGTTTATTTACTGGGGAAACATAGAACCAATTGTATGTTTAGACTCAGGATCTTTTGTGGTGGGAATCCAAAACAACGCACCATAAATATATCTGTATTAGGCTCAACCAGAGAGGCAGAACCAGCAGGAAGTTGATCACAAGGAATTGGTTTTCATAGTGGTGAAGGCTGGCTAGACAAGTCTGAAATCCATAGGGCCAGTGACAGGAAGGGCAGTGGCTGAGACCGCTGCCCACAAGTGGAATTTCTTCTTCTTTGAGGAGTCCTCAGCTCCGCTTTTAAGGCCTTTTAACTGATTGAATCAAGACTACTCAGATTATCTAGGATAACATCCCTTAAACTGCTTCTGGACATTAATCACATCTACAAAATGATTTTCACAGAAACACCTAGATTAGTGTTTGATTGAATACCTAGGGACTGTAACCCAGTCATAGTGACACACCAAGGAGACCATCACGTCATTCCTTTGGCCTCTCTGGATCCTTTTGTTCATAGAAACCAGTAACTTTTGAAGAGAAGTTACTGTTATTGTAGTAAAACAAGAGACTCAGTTTTTTTCAAACTGCAGACAAATAATAAGGAAAATTTGTGGTTTCATTAGCAGAGACCAGATGTGAAGAGTCACAATAAAATAAATGTTTCATTTTCTGTTTACTCTCAGAAATTGTTTAATTTTTAATTTGTAATGGATTTATAGTCAGTCTCACCCACTGGGATAGAAGCTCTGTGAGGGCAGGGGATTTGTTGTACTCACTCCTGAATCATCAACCATGTTTGGAGTAAAATAAACATTAGTAGAATGAGTCTATAAATAGCTACTTCCAAAGAAGAGTTGAATAGGCTGGGTGCAGTGGCTCATGCCTGTAATCTCAACACTTTGGGAGGCTGAGGGGGGCAGATCACTTGAGGCCAGGAGTGTAAGACCAGCCTGGCCAACATGGCAAAACCCCGTCTCTACTAAAAATACAAAAATCAGCTGGGTATGGTGACACACACCTGTAGTCCCAGCTACTCAGGAGGCTAAGGTGGGAGAATCGCTTGAACCCAGGAGGCGGAGGTTGCAGTCAGCCAAGATCATGCCACTGCACTGCATCCTGGGCAACAGAGCAAGACTCTGTCTCAAAACAAAAAACAACAAAGAGTTCAATTGCATTTTTTTGTCTGAATAAAGAGTTTTCTATTATGTTTATCTGGCTCATTTTTGGCTTCAATTGTATGCTGCACCAAGACTCAAGGCCAAGGATAGCAAATTCCTCTAGAAAAAAATTATATTCCTGCATTTTCTCCACTGAGAACAAGCCCTGTTATTAAAGATGAGAGTAAAAATTTATTGATATCTTTAAGATTTTGTACTCACTCCTTTATCCTCAACATTTTCCTAGAAAAATACACGTAATATTTAAAAAAATTATGGATTCTTTGATACATAAAAGGTTATATGTAACATATATGTAAGTTATGAAGTATAATAACCATACAAATACTTATGCACTCACCAACCTACCAATACTGTTGAAAATGCTGCTCTGCTCCATCTCCTCTCCCCACCCGTTACCTGCCTTCAGAAATCACCAGTGTCCTGAATTTTGTATTTATCATTTGCTGGTGTTCTTTATAGTTCTACCAGACATGCATGTATCCCTAAACAATATGCTATTTCATTTTGCCTCTTTTTTTTTTTTTTTTTTTTTGAGAGAGGATCTCACTCTGTCACCCAGGCTGGAGTGCAGTGGCACAATCTTGGCTCACTGCAACCTCCACCTCCTGGGTTCAAGGGATTCTCCCTCCTCAGCCTCCTGAGTAGGTGGGTCTACAGGTGCCTACCACCACACCCGACTAATTTTTGTATTTTCAGTAGAGATGGGGTTTCACCATGTTGGCCAGGCTGGGCTTGAACTCCTGACCTCAAATGATCCACCCAGCTCGGCCTCCCAAAGTGCTGGGATTACAGGTGTGAACCACCTTGCCTGACCTCATTTTGCTTCTTTTTAACTGTATATAAATGGCATCACAATATATATTTTGTTCACTGACCTGCTTTTCTTACTTATGCTTCTGAGATCCATCCAGTGGATATGTATAACCATAATTCTTATTGCCATAGAATATTTCCTTGCATGATTCAACAATTTATTATTCATTCTTCTATCAAGGGCCATTCTCCCCATCTTTTTCTTATTATAAACAAAGTTGCTTTGAATAGGATTGTACATATATCCTAAAGAATATGTGTGGGAAATGGATCTTAAAGGTTATCTAATTTAACCCTTCATTTATGGGTAAATGGAGGCTCAGTGCCTCCAGTCAGTAGTGAGATTAGAGATGAGTTCCCTCTCATCCACAGTGATTTTCATCATTCTGTGCCATCTCCATATGACTGTGTCGAAGTTTATATTTAGGAAAATATTTAGTTTCACTTTATAATGGTTGGTAAGAATTTGGCTAATTATAGTCTCCTTTGAGTATGTGTGTGTTTTGATTACTTTAAGGGGAAAGGAAAGCCAGTTCAAGTCCAGTACCTGTGAGAGGCAGAGGAAAGGGAGACTCAAGGAGCTGGCCTGGGATAAGGAGCAAATCTGAGGCCCTTGGCAAGCCCACTGCTGATCAAGTTTCTTAACTTTGTATGTACAGTTGATCCTTGAATACGCAGGTTTGAACTAGACAGGTACCACATTTTTTCCAATAAGTACTTTTAGTCTCTTTCTCATCAGGGGATTCTGCATCTGCAACCAAAGGCATTGCAGATCAAAAGTACGGTATTTGAGGGATGCAAAACCCACAGATATGGAGGGTTGACTTTTCGTATGTGCAGTGCTGCAGGGCTGGCTGTGTGACTTGAGTATATGTAGATTTTGGTATCTGCAGGGGTCCTGGAACCAATTCCCTGCAGATACTGAGGGTCAGCTGTAGAAAAGTACATACATCATGTATATAGAAAAGTGCATATATAACATATACGCAGCTTGTTGAATTTTTACAAAGTGAACAAACCCATGTAACAAGCACACACTTAGGCAGAAAACAATCAGCACCCCGGGAGCACCCCTCACCTCTTTCCAGTGACTACAGGCACTCCTTCTTTTCCTCAGCCTCTGAGCCTACTCCCTCACCCATTGCCCAGGCAAGGCCCTTTGTATTTCTTCACATTTTGTAGTGATGCTGCTGTAATGGTGTGGCTAAATATT